GATCCCAAAAAGATCTTAAACGCTCTGATACTACTGTTAGTTCTTTAGAAATCGAACTGTCACAATTCACTCATAAACTTTACTCTTTTATTAAACACACTTACATAGGACCTACACAAACTTCTCTACGAGTAGGATCATAGAAGTTTTCTTCACTCTGCAATAACTCTAAACAACCATTGACACACCATTTTATAGACAAACATAAAAACCGACAGTAACCACCTTTAGTAACTTCTTCCGTAACTTGCCATAACTACAACCTTAAAACTTCCACTTTACAACTTCAATAAAACCGCATCAAACCACTCTTGAATCATACATCTAACAAAGAACAACTTGCAGCCCTTGACAAGAACAACACTTGCATCACTCGACAAAAACCGACATCTCGACCTGGCACACCTAAATGTCACCCACCATGAGTAGAATATCAGGTTTCATGTCCAGCATCGGTTCCTCCTTATCCAATATTATCTGCGGTGACAGATTCTCCAGCGGCTCAGGGTGGACAAAACCTGATATACAAAACCCGATATAGGAGGGTCGTTCTGACCTTCGTGTTATGATTCCTTTTCCTCTCGCCGTTGTATCATGGCGCACAAGTCTGCCAGCAACATCTCCACAGTGTCGATTCGCAACAGGTGCTTCTCTACCTCCGTCATGCTCGTCTTCAGCCGGTCAATTAATTCTTTAGTGGACGAGACCATCTCCTCCAAGGATTCAATCCTCTGACTGTTGGTTTTGGACATGGTGAGATAATTCAGAGCAGTAAGCTTTATGACATTTGATATGTTGATGTTAATCAGAGGATTGGTAGGGTTACTGACATCATAGGTAGTGATAGAGTCACTAGGGAGGTCGACAATTGCAAAGGATGAGTGCTCAGGGGTGGCCATTGGTAAAGGAGAAGGAGTAATGGTAGAAAAGGAAAGAGAACGTCGTTAGATGATTTTAACTCTGATACCATATAAGGTGGGGAATAAAAAAATATTTTCCCTTATATTGCAGATGAGTAATGTTGTGAATATATACATGCCGAGACAGAACTACAGTTGAGGAAACATAGGAACAAGATAATCAATCTGGAAATAGATTGAAACATAACAAATTTGATCGATATACAGATATGTGGAGATATGGTCTAACAGTCAATTGATTTACCAATCTGATATTCATTTCGGACCCATTAGATTAATTCTCTAAAAAACGGGAATGATTTATGTTGTGCATATAGGAATTGGTAATATATTGGAACCATATTTTACAATTGGGAAAATGATATTTTCCTATACGAATTTAGAAAAATATTGTCTTGTAATCAGTTTACTGATAATATATTGTTGTGCCTTCGGTCCCTGATCAAAGTTTTCATTAACTAAAAACAAGATTTGGTTTCTTGATTCGCAAACTACCATTTTTATCTTTAACTGAGGCATAAAATCGAGTGAAACTTTAGACCTAAATGTTTTGCTCAAGATAAAAGACATAATATTATGTGGATTTCTTGTTTTGGAGAATATATCTGTAGAATGAGTTAGTTTTTCGATAATGGAGTTTGATGAAGAAAGATCCGTACATTCTTTCGTAGTCTATTTGTTGAGAAGCCTGAATTTTTTGACAACTTATGTCGAACAATGTGATATCATCGTCATAACCATGTTTTGGTTCAAAACCGAAGAATTCGTTTCGTCGAGAAAAGAAAATCTACGTCTGTTTTTTGTTATAAGAGTTGTATATCTTGATTAATGGAGCATGCACGTGTATAGAGTATTATAAATATATATAAATCTATGATATTTTCTCGAAATATATATTATAGACATGTATTAATTTTGTATATATCTCTAATAAGGGGTTTTCAAAATTTTAATTTTACTAATTTGATTACGTGGGAAATTAAAATTCTTTGTTTTCATTCTTTTTAATTGTTATCTATGATTCTCTTGGAAAAATAATTTTTTTTTCATGTTATTTTAGTTTTTAGAAAAAATCTCAAATAAAACACTGAACTTTACAATTTTGTCAGAAAAAAAAACCGAACTTTCGTTTTTATTAAATAAATATTAAACTTTTTAAATGAGTTTAAAAAATACTAAACTTTTTAAATGATCCAAAAAATACATAAACTTTTATGTGATTATCAAAAAAATACTAAACTTTTTAAATGATTCAAAAAAAATACATGAACTATATACAATTGTAAAAAAAAACGACAATAGTTTGACGTGTTTGCATCTTTTTATGTCACGTCAGTTCATTTGTTTATTTTGACAATTGTAGAATAGTTAAGTGTTTTTTTGATAAATTTAAAAAATTTAATGTTTATTTGACAAAATCAAAAGTTTAGTGTTTTTTTTGTCGAAAAATTCAGCGTATTTTTTTATATTATTTTTATTTTTATTTTTTTTTCTTTTTAACTCAATACCAACATTGCTTTTGTGCAATTGTGATTTGACTTAATTAAGATTCTGGCGTTTTTATTTTGGTTACACAAATTATATTTTTTTTACGGAACCTTTTAGATTGTTTCCTTTTTATTTTTGCAAACTAAAAAAGGGAAACAAACAATGTTTAATTTTATTTGTTTTTAACTCTTTTTTGTGATAAAGAGAAGAATCTATATTCTTCATTTCTCTCTATTGACAATTTTTTCCGATCAAAATCAACTGAAAAATAAAACGAACAAAAACTCTTTGGAATATTTTTTTCAAAAAACTTAACTCCGTATTGATTCAAAATTCAAAAAGAATGAAGCAATAAAAAATAGATTAAAAAAACACTATACAATAATAAAGTAAAAAACAAAGAAAGAAATATCCATCATATGTTCTTGTTTTACCCCAAACCCAAGGAGAAAAAAAAAGGAGACAGCCCTCATCGATTTCCATTTCAACTGTCTTCCAAGATGTATTTTCGATAATTACATTTCCGGTCGAGTAATTGATATTGATCAGCGATATTTCAGATATGATTGATATTTATTCTTTGATGATTCTTTGATTCTATAAGATTATTGTATTAGATTTGGTTTGATCTTCGATATGCATTTGTCATGGTTTATATTCGTTATGCATCATAATGGTTTGTAATCGGTTTGTTCAATATGAAAATTCACTGACTTCCATCTTGCGAGAGATTATTAGAGAATATAACCGGTTTAGATTGATTTGGTTTGATTTATATAAATACATTAATATCAAACAATTTTATAACAACACTTTGAATCAATAATATAGAAAAAAATTTAATTTTTTTTATTTATTTTCTAATTAGAACGACTTGTTACGCTCTCTCCAAATGTCATATATAGAAGTCTGCGATGATATGATAAGAACGTGTTACATTATTTTTAATAGTCATATACGCACCAATACATATTAAAAATCTCCGTGTATTATATGGTATTTTTAATTGAGTCAACTATATTATTCACATAAGAGATAAATATAGCGATTATTGTATAGATATTATTTGATAATTTCTAATTTTTTATTGGTGGAATTAAAAACCAAAGTTTTATACAAAGGTAGTGATCTCTGCAGCGAGCGAATGTTAGATTAATGTGTAGAGAACCAGACGGTTACACAATTAAAATGGGTTCGGATATATAACAATTCGGTTCAATTATGCCATGAAAAGTTTTGATTATTGTTCGGTTAATACAGAGCAAAAGACAAACAAGAGCGAATGAATGAAACTTAATATGTATTGGTGCGTATATGACTATTAAACCCAAAGCCAACCTAAATATCGAACCGACCCGATTGGGGAATATAATTGATTGGTAATTCGATTTTATTCGCTTAATATCGCACTTAACCAAACCAATCCATTATCCCATTTTTGCAGCCGATCCATTGTTTTGGAAAACCCGAACCAAAGCGAAATCATCATATAATTTGGTCGATTAGTTTTGCTTTTAAAAATGACACCGGAAATATCAAGCCCTACTCATGCACCTTTTTGTTTCTTAAAAAATATATATATATATATTAAGAAGCCCTTATATAGAAAATTAGGTTGATATTTCTTTTTGGATTATAATTTTTGAAGGTTCTTTAAATAACAGCAGAAGTTGGAATTATTACCATCTCTAGGTATTATTACTCGGTCAGCCGTTACTTAAATACCCATGTACAAATAAAATCTAATCTAGTCATATATAATTTCGATTTTTCAATATCCTTTACGAAAAATACTTGAATATCTCTTTTTTTTTTTAGTCGAGGATAACGATTTATTTTCATATGATGCTACGTGCGTTTTCATTCCCATCATATCTTAATTGTCATTGCAACATGAGATTTCCAACATGCAAGACACGTGTAGAAATGTTTCCGGGGACAATTAATATATAGTTGCAACTTGCATGGGCATGAAGAAATTATTACATTCCATTGTCATTTGGTTTTGTAAGTCGTTACCTGCAAAATTACCTGAAAATCCGAATGTTGTGAATAGTAACGGAGTAAAGTTCAGGTTTTGTTTTCAAAACTCAAATATCAAAGAATATTTAGTATTAAAAAAAATATCATATTTTGTTTTTATATTCATAAACAATATTAACGTTAGGATATGAGACATGCCATGCCATGAACAAGATTTGGTTTCCTCGTATACGTGAGATTAGGACAGCTGCACAATTCCAGACAAATCAATTCCTTCACAGCTAAAGAAAAATCTACAGTGAGAAACATCTGGGCAATTAATTTCTTAATAATCTTTTCAATCTTATCCGTAACGAAACCTAAACCCGATCGGTAAGTCCCCAACTCATTTCCACACTAGCTTACCTGTTTGATTCCTCTCCTAAAGACAACTTTTCCTCAATCGATCAGTTTCGGTTAATTTACCTATTCTACATGGTTTGTCGGTTTTTGCACGGATTCGGAGGATTTACTGTCCGAAATGTTGTCCGATCCGGGGGTCGACCGGTGTCCGATCCGAAGGGCTGTGGCGATGGGTTTCCCATCGTTACCACAAAAAAAAAAAAAACCTAAACCCGATCGAATCATGGAACAAAATTACCCGAATTTCGTCATAACGTTGTTGTTGTTCTACAAAAAGAAAAGGAAAAAAAAGAATCACTCGGCTTCTTGTAGGGCGCCCAAAACAATAGATCCAAGAAACAGACCGGTAGCCCCGAGGGCAAGGGCACCACCCACAACGGTCGGAGAGAGTTCGACACAACCCATGAAATTGTGGAAAGAAAAAAGGATCATAAAGAAATTCTTGAACTTAATCAGCACAAGATTCACCTCCATGACAAGAACCTTTGCCCTGAGCGCGTCAACATTAGCTTCATCAACAACAAAGTCTGACATTGTATCTCCAGTAAAAGCAACTTCAGGAACTGTCACAGTATCACTAATCTGCCATGAGAAATGCCAAATGGGTCAGATGAAATCTATTGACTTTTACATGCAAATGTAAACTGTCAGATGCGACCTTAGATATTGAACAGTAGAGGATCATTTATACAAGGGTGTACACAAGATCAAACATGTATAAATTCTTGACCAATATGTGTCTGATCTTAGCAAAACTATCGACTCAGTTCGATAGAGAGTCATCAGGGATAACTACAATGGCCACAACGGCGGCGGCTAATGCAGGGAGAGCGGCAGAGGCAAGCACGGAAGGCGACGTGCCAGCGGCCTTCTCGAGCAGGCTTAATAGACCTAACTCCTCTGCCTTGGAGAACACTCCGAGCTTCTCTAAAGAGGACAGAGTGACGCCCAGTTCCTCCGCCTTGGAGAGGAGCCCGGCCTTCTCGACGTTACTCAGCACTTTCCCCTTCTCGAGCTTCTTGAAAACGTCAACGTTTACTTCCTCGCTGCCCTCGTAGAACAGCCCCGCCCCGTACCACTGTTTCTTCCAGCTCTCGTCGTACTTGTTCACCTGTTTTCCATCGCAAGATCCCAATGGCAAAAACTTATCTACAGGTATGTGTCTTCAAAATGTTGTATTATACAAAGTGATGCTCCTCATTGTGATGGGTACTATCTTGATTTTGTTTCAAGAACTTGAGGATGTGAGCCAAATACTTGCAAGATTTCTACTTGCAGAAACAGAACATTTGTGCCTTAGACCAAAACTACCTCCTCAAATTGCGGATTATGTGTGTGTATATATATATGCATATACGTACATTCACACCCAGACCAAATAACTTGTTTCTGTTTCTGGTTGACCATGAATCTACCCATGAATACATTACAAGAGATAACCCAAATTACAATCAGAAGCACAAAATTCAGTTTTCAGTGAAACATGCGAACATATGTTCTTCATACACAAATAACCATTGTGTTCAACCTTCAAAACCCAGAAAACGAATCTAAAATCTCAGCACTTCGGAACCAGTAACAAGATCTTAAAACCCTAAAGCCCATACCAGAACACGTCCCCAGAATCAAGATCTTAAAACTCAAAACCACAGAAGAAACAGAGAGGAAACGGAGAACAGAGTACCTTTTTCTGGGGAGCCATAGCGACGACGGTGAAGGTCGGCCGTTCTCGGCGGATACTGAGGGGAGAGAGGAATCGCGTGCGGTGGTGAGTCGCCGGAGATGAAACCGGAGCGATGACAGCCATCGATTCCGATCGCCGAGAAATCGTCTGGTTTCGAGATTTGTTTGGATGCAATGGTCTCTTTGCCGGGGGAGCTATTTCTCTGGTGAGAGAGAAGTGCCACGATGGAGTGTGAAATTGTGGTATCAACCAATTGTATTCGTTGGCGCTTTATCTTCTACTTATCATAGAGAAAAGTTGAAGTCATACGCATACACTTACAAAAATTGCAAATTATCAAATCTATTTTAAATTTATTATAAAAAAAATCATCATTACTATTTTTTAATAAAATATTATCGGCTATATAATTTATTACAAAATCCTTTATTTTAAGGATTTTTTAATTCATAACTATTAATTTTGATTAAAAAACCATAATTTACTCAAAACATATTTTATTTTAAATTTCTTATAAAAACTATTATTTTTGAGTAAATTATATAACTGATAATATTTTATTAAAAAATAGTATTGAAGATTTTTTTATAATAAATTTAAAATAGATTTTAGTAGTTTTAAAATTGTAGTATAACAATAAAAATATAAATATATTATATCATGATATTTAGAATTTGTCTAAATATTAAAATTTTTATTTTTATATTCATAACTGTAATATTAAAAATCGAAATGAACAAGGTATTAAAGTTAAACACTAAATATTATTGTAAAAATGGATTTCGGTATAAGAAAATTTAGAACCAAAATTAGCAAGACGGTGTGTGTGTGTATATATATATCTATTTTTATCCTTCCAAATCAATGTTAAAGAATATTGAATATTTTGAATTTTAGAAACAATATAAAAAAAAATCTGTGATAAATAATAATTCTTATCCCAGAGGAGAAATTGGCAAAATTCCTCTTCAATTTAAAGTCTGATTGAAAAGCCAAAAAATGAAATAAATAACTCCAGGGGTACAAATGGAAACGCTGAAAAACTAGTGATTGGAAACCCTAAACCCTAAAGTCTCATCTAACGCAGTCTCTCGCGCTCAGCTCTTCATTCCCTCTGTGTTTTCTCGGTCTGGTTTTCTCTCTTGTCTCACTGTTCAGATCGAATTTGAAAGATTGAATCTCTCTCTCTGGTTTTTTATCTTCTCTAACATTGTCTCATCCCCAGGTCATTTTTTTTAATTTTGTAATTTTACTTCAAAAATATACTTGGATATGAGAGTAGAAGACGATCTCATACTTATAGATTGCTAGAAAATTGCTTTCTTTTTGATAACCCTGTTGAATTTTTTATGTTCTGTGTCCAAAATTAGGGTTTATGGTACGAGAATAAGATTTAGTTGCTTGAATTCATACATTTGCTTCTCGAGTCCTGGAGATTTGGGTTTTCATTCACAGCTGCGTTTCTGTGCCTCTTTATTTCCAGATTTGGGTTTTACTCACAGCTTTGCATGTGTCTTTTGATTTTGCAGATTTAGGATATTGAGTTTTGTAATTTTCGCTATGACCCTGCTTGAAGTTGTTTCCAACGCTACTGTGAAAGGAGACCAAGGCGATACGCAGTCGGATTATCCCATCGTTCTCAACCCAGATGGCATCTGTTCAAACTTGAAGCCGAAACTCGAGAACCCTAATCCTAGTACCCTGATTAATCCTCTATCTGGGTGGGAAATCTCCAGAAGTGATGCTGAGATAATCGATTTAGGCAAAGGTTTTTCTTCTAAGCTTAAAAGGAAGCTTAAAGATACCAACAGTTTTGGCAAAGACGAATTTATCGGCATGTTGAAGCCATTTCTCGAGAAAATTGGCGAGAAATTCGGGATATCGGCGGGGGTTGATCATTCTGATAAGGGCTATATAAGGGCATTGATTGAGAAAACTGGGCTCGTTATGGGTAGAGATGTTGCTGGTTTAATTCTGGAAGGCTGTGTTCGTTTAGAGATATGGGAGTTAGTGGAGACCTTTGTTACAAACTCGATGGTTGATCATTCCTCATACTCTGGTTTGGTCAGGAATCTCGTTGGGAAGAAACAATCTGATTTGCTTTGCCTTGTGATCAAACATGCTTCAGATCTTGGGGCACCTGAGTTACTTTTGATCTTGAAGTATTTTCTTTGCCCGTCCAAGGAAGCATTTGGCAATATGGTTAAGGTAAGAGAAGAATGGGATAATCAGGCCTTGTTAGCTATCGAAAAGGCGAGCGATACAGCTCTTTCTGCTAAAAAGTCCAGAGTTGCTAGAGATGCTTCAATCTTGCTCATGGTTGCCCATGACGGGTTTTCAACTCCCGAGCTCTGCTTGCACTTCTTGTTAGCATCCAAGAATGTCGACGATGTCATGTTAGCGTCCGCAGTCAATAAATTGAGCGGCAAAGAGATGGCAGGCTTTATTCGGTACCTTTCCAAATGGTTGAAGAAGTATGAAAGTTTTCCTCAAGCGGGTCCATGCCCTAAAGCTGCTTCAATGTTCGGTTTAAAACTGTGCAACTGGGTTCCCAGGCTCGGGGATGTTGCAAAATATCTCGGTCTAATTCTCGACGAGAACTTCTCTACTGTGGTTCTGTATTCAGATGTGCATGAAGAGCTAAAGTCCATTGAAGGAGTAGTCCATTCTTTAGCTTCTGAATCCAAAGTTTGTTGTTTTATGGCTAATGTGGTTGAAAGTATGAAACTTGGGTGTGCCCGAGACTAGAAATTCACATAGTTACCTGTTCTTGGTGGTTGTCTCGAGTTTATGTAACCCAATTCACTTTTCAATCAACTGATGTGATATTAGTATTCTTACATTTTCCTTAATTATTTTTCTTGGATTTCCATTCCATGCCCCTACAAAGGCTTCTTTTTGTCTTTGGTTTTAGTTTGAGGTTTGTGAATCTCTCTGGTTTCAAAATCTACAATGCGAATCTCAATGCAGTTTCAACATAAATTAATATGGTATCTTTTTACCGCAAGTCACTAACATTACAACAGCAAGAGTACAAGATCTATCTTTAACAAATCAAAACTTTGGCCAACGAAAAAAGAGAGGACTTTTTCACTTTTTCTTGTCTTCGGTGTTTAGAACCCTTGTGTTAGTGCAAAGATACGCCCTGCCAAAGGTGGAGACAATGCGGAAATTGCATCTTCGATTTCCTGAGAAATTTAAGAGAAATCATTTTTCTTTCGCTGCGGGGAAAGTAAAGCATTCGAATCCTACGAAATGGAGAACTGTACCTTCACTGAATATCGAGCTGAAAAATGGGTCAGAAGAATTGCTTTGTTCTCAAACTTCTCAGCATATTTAACAATCTGTGGTTTCAGAACAAAATGTAATCGAAGATATGAGAAACCTTTATGAAGAGATAGAAGACTAAACGTAGCATAGATGTCCATGGAAACAGACGACGAGGAGAGGAGCTTTACCTCAAATAGATGGATATGTCCGTAATCTCTCGCATGCTCGATGGATACTGAATCGTCAAGAAATGTGCTCTGCACATAGAGAAACGCAGACAACGAACACTCAATTTTCTATCTATTAGCCATAGATGACTCGGAAAAAGAAAAATATCGAACTGGATAGCTTTAAAGCTGGGATAACTACTGAGAGGGTATTCACTAAAGTTGAAACAAGGCCCATAGCTGAACAAAAAAGCAGTATGTTGGTGATTACGGTTATATTGTAAATAAAGGCGTATAAAAGAGGAAAAAAAATTGGCAATGCAACTGATAACACGTTCATGTAAATCAGATGAAATGTGATAAAACTACACATCTGACAGGAGAGAGTTCGACACAACCCATGAAATTGTGGAAAGAAAAAAGGATCATAAAGAAATTCTTGAACTTAATCAGCACAAGATTCACCTCCATGACAAGAACCTTTGCCCTGAGCGCGTCAACATTAGCTTCATCAACAACAAAGTCTGACATTGTATCTCCAGTAAAAGCAACTTCAGGAACTGTCACAGTATCACTAATCTGCCATGAGAAATGCCAAATGGGTCAGATGAAATCTATTGACTTTTACATGCAAATGTAAACTGTCAGATGCGACCTTAGATATTGAACAGTAGAGGATCATTTATACAAGGGTGTACACAAGATCAAACATGTATAAATTCTTGACCAATATGTGTCTGATCTTAGCAAAACTATCGACTCAGTTCGATAGAAAGGTCACCTAAAAAATAATTTCAGCAACCACTTGCAGGTCAACCAACTACGAGAGGCCGAAGCAGTGTGCCCTTATAATATAATAATTCCGGGTATCAGAGACAAACCTCTACACCAGAAGCCTTCAAGCTCTTAATTTCATTTCCAGAAAGCCCAAGGTACTCCTTTTTGAGCTTCTGTTTAGTTGAATAAACTACATAGCCCTGCAATATCGATAGGAGACATAAAGTTACATGTAGAAAAAATGAATTCCCCAAAAGAGAATGAAAGCATGTCAGATAATGAGAAGGAACCTGGCTTTGTATGACATGATACGTCCTAAAAGCTTTCACTTTGAGATCTTTCCTCATGTAAAACTCTTCCCCTATAGCATAAGTGAAAAAACGCCGGGTCAGAATGAAAGCTGACAGAAACTATAACCTACATTTTCAGCTGTAATATTTACCTACATCCAAACCAACAAGATTGTGTTTCAGTTCTGAAGAATCTAGTTTTCTATAGACCTCAAACAAACTCTCCACATTCTCTTTTATGGACTTGGGCACTATTATTGTTGGAGGCTTCATTTTATATAAGCCTCTGGTTGCAACATACATGGGCAATCCACCCTAGCAAACAATAAAGACAGTTTATCAAATATGATTAGAAAAAAAACAAAACCAAACACAGAGCTCGACAAGGACACATGCTAGTTAAACAGGGAAAACAGAATTTCTACATGGAGCTGCATATTAATTATTTTTTTTTACGACAAAAGCTGATGAAAACTTGCAAACCAACAAGCCCTTTGATTGTTAATTCCGTTCCACATCTCAAAGCCCGGTGTCATAGAGGATATTCAGTCTCTCAATAACTTCTACTAGAAACTGATCAAGACGATGTACTCCAAAGGTATACCTAACATACAATATAACTATTGATCATAAGCTCTTATCACTCATTTCTGGTAAAAGCCAAAGGCTATAACCACTGGATTCTTGACTCAATGTAATCCTAATATTTCACAATTATTGTAATCAGTGATTTACTAGAAGGAACTAAACTCTCGTCCCTCTTGCCATAGGGAACCCTATACACATTGAAGCAAAAAAACAAAGGATAAATAAACCATTCATGTGTTCCGCTAAATAAACACTACCCTTTTGAAAAGCCTGAAAGATCAAGACAAATTCTACTGCTTTCTGGAGAAAAAAGGCACACGCAGACATCAATCGTGTACGGAACAGTAGTACTTCTCCGGCTTTCCCTAAATATCATCAACCGACGGAAGAGAGAGAGAGAGATTACGATGTGATCCATGTGAGAATGAGAGATGAAGACGAAGTCCTGAGAAATGGCGCGAGGGGGACAGCGGCCGATGTCGAAAGCTAGGCGAAGAGAAGGAAACATGACGCAAGTCTCGTGCCCTCCGACCGAAAGTCCATCGATTGGGTAACCTTCGATTTCGATCGCTGTCTGACTCTTCATCTATGTTGTTGTTCAAGCGAATCTGAGTTTATGGTTCTTCCGGTGATAATCCGATTTGATTCTGTTTTGGGTATTGAGTTGAGCACGCGCTGCTCGTTGAAATATCTCTCACGTTGGAGGGTCTTTTTACTCAAATGAACCCACTTGCTTCGCACTGATTTCACACGCGTACGACCCAAAAAAACATAACCCATTAAATTATTTTCGAAAAGACTATACTACCCTTAATGAAACGGCATAATTTGTTCATTCAAAAAGAAGTTGTAATTACGACGTTATAATTAATTCTAAATACAGTTACAATTGATTCTAAATGAGATGGCAAAAAATACATCTTTCAAAATTAAAAAATAACGATATTTTTTTTTGAGACCTTCACTTGTTATACAATCATAAATACTTCCTTTTTTAGTCGTATACTAGGTATAATATAATAGTCGCAATAAAAGTCGTAAAAAATATATAAAAAAAAAAGGTTATTTCACACCTTTTAAACGGAAAAGAAAAAAAATATTATTTTTTCCGATGGTGTACACATGAAATTAGTGCGACCCAAATGAGTCATTTGAGTAAAATATCCTTCGTATATATCTATTTACTTTAGAAAAAAAGGGAAAATTTAAGGGGGAAAAAATACACCAAAGAAACTTTCTAGCGTTGAATTTATTTGTCGAAGTACAAAAAAGAGGGTCTGTGTGAATTTTGTTTAGACTTTATAATGCATATATTTTCAAAATATAATATCTAAAATAATTTATTTTCTCGTGATTGATTTTGAAATTGCATAGAATAATTGATGTGAAGCCCAAATTGTTTTCAACCGCTGACCAATACACAGGAGAAATTTTTTGTTCAAATTCGAAGATAATCGTAATCCGGTTATAACATCCAAGTTCTAAGTTTGGATGGCTCAACCGGTAAAGAAAGAAGCAAAATTCTTTTCCAAACCGGTTCGAGTCCTCACTTAGAAAGTGATATTCATATGGACTTCTCCGATCTTCTGAGAGATGTATAGTCGGACATTTTCCAATCCAAGTTCGAGTCTTCATTTGGAAGCACACATATTCATATGTAGTTTTTCGATCCTCTTAGAGATGTAGTCGGACTAAAGATTCGATAAACTTCCGTATTATAAAAAAAATCCGATCATATCACCGTGACCAGAAAATGTGTAAGTCGTAAGTTGTCGATGTTGGATCTGAAATGTGACCAATTAACCAATCATTAAAATTGCTTGTTACAAATAACGTGGTTGCATCTAAACATATAAATGTTGACTAATCTTAGCTAAAATTAAACTCTCGTGAAAAATCTGAATTTTTTTTAAAAAAAATCTTAAATATAAAAATATGTAGAATATTGTATACTTTTTAACTTATCGATGAAAAAAAATCAAATCACCCTAAAACCTCAAGGAAATCAATCATTTATGATAAATTGATATAAAAAGTAGGATGCCCATTTTTAAGATTGATGCTTAAAGCTTCATTCAAATTTTCTTATTGACTAAAGAAAAATCCGGCTGAAGCAGCAAAATGAATTTGACTTGGTCTGTAATAGGATTTACCGATTCAGTGTTTAGATTTACATTTGAAAGATATGGAACTTATGTCCTCTTCCACACGTTTTCGAATAAATACTTTTAAAATTATAATTTTGTCGTATCACAATTCACAAGTGTCATTTCACAATTTAATTAAAACAAATTTACGGTGAAATATAATATTTTTCTTCAAATTCAAATATAACAATTATCTAAAGTGGATAAATTAAATGTATTTTATTCATTCAATCTTATGGCCGAAACAACATTTATTTGAAACCAGAGAGATATTTAAGAATATAGAGTCCACTAAAAAACAAACGAAGCTAAGAATATAAGATTTCAGTTCAAAATATAAATGTTGTACCACCGTATATGTTAATGTATATGTATACAACACCGTATATATTAATGTATATGTATAGATAAAAGTATATGTGTTGCATATGATAGACACACATACACACACATGTTGTTCAAACCTGCCAGAACAGAGAATTCCAAAACCAGTTTTTATATGTTATTATGCCTCCTTCAGACCAATCTTACCACAAACTTAAGAAGTGAATCCAACAAGCTTCCCTACTTGCTCTTTTGCTCTTCCAGTTCCCCTTTTGTTCATATATATATAATATATACACATACACATACACACACATGTATGTTGCTCATTTATATAAGCCCATCCCAAACCCCAGTTGAAAGATGAACCAAGCACCGCTCTTTTTCTTGCAACACAATACAAACCCTCTGGCACCTTCTCAGGTTTTTCTCTTCAAGATTTCTCCAAACCTGGAAAAAGGAAAACATAAAATGGGTGTTTGTATTCATCACAGAGGAGTCATTCTTCTTGTTCTCATCAGTTTTTTCGTCCTTGAGACAAATAGCGTTCCGGGTTTAAGATGGGACAGAGGGATGATGCTGCAAATTCTGTCAGTTAAGTCGTCCTTGGCGCGGCACCGGCACCTTTGGCTACAATCGATCCGAACCAATCTGACAACAGAAAGATCGGACGAGGATCTGATCCTATACATAACAGATCAATGAATGTTTGAAGGCAGAAACTCCAGTTCTTCAGATTTCGTTCGACAGTCCGCTTGGTTTCTTCTTCCTTTGCTTCTTTGCCCTTTTTGGTTTTAGGAGAAGATGATAACCTGGAAATAGATTGTACCTTTATTGTTTCTTTCTCACCCTGTTTCCTTCTGTTGATGTGTATAAACTTACTTCTCAAGAGATTTTCATTGAAAAAAGTTTTGTATGATGCACTATGTTTATAATACAGTACAGCAATCTTGATTTTTTATTTTTCCTCCATGACCAGATTCATATAATAAAGCACAGAATCAGATGCAAATAGGTTAGGATCTTAAAGTTTGTCAGTATGAACACCAAATGCGGGTGTCATTTCTGGCAGTTTTAGATAAGCCCAAGAGTAGGAATCCTAGTTTGGTGCAGAAATTTTTGCATGGTCAAGACTTTTCCTTAAGTTATCAGTTGAATTACAGAGAAAGCAGAAAAAAAAAAAGACAACTTAAAACGATAGATAGAAGGAAGAGAAGATGTGCACCTTGAAAGCTTAATTGTATATGTATCTTTCTGCAGAGTATGTTTCCGACCTGTCGTACCTCTTCTTCCTATGAGCATCAAACCGAACCGAAGAAAGCTTACGTGAAACCGAAGCCCAAATCATATCGACTGCATCTCCGGGCCGAGATGGAAACCGATACTCAAAGTATCCGACCACTTGTTTCAACCTTTCCCACTTCTCCGTCCACTGGTCTCGGGTTATCCCTCTAAGAAGATTCACCAAGTACCCTTTCTTTACAGCATCTGAAGCATGAACGAACATGGAAAACCGAGAGTAGTCCAGAACATCTTCGAATGGAAGTTCAATGTCATCGCTGATTATAACCGGAACACAATGGCTCACGATAGAGTCAAAGAGACGGTTGGATGATGGGGTGTCACCTGCAATGTTCAGGCAAAATTTCGAGGAAGCCATTCCTTTGCTAGCTTCGTTAATCCCGTTCCCTTTTACGGTTCCAAAGGAAAAGTGGACATCTTTCTCGTCTTTGAGAAGGTAGTACAGTTCCTGCCGAATAGTTCCACCCTGCAGAGAAAAATTGCGGATCGGGATTAGAGCACTGGCATAATACACATTCATATGCAAATACAATACCAAATACCTCCAAGAAAATCTGAATAAGATCATTTCAAGTCTATCTCAGACATATTTTCATCAGCTTTTGGGGAACATAGTGTACTTTTGTTGGGTTAAATTTGAGCAATGCACCCTTATGGAACTAACCATTTGTTCCAACAAGGATCGACATGTTATGATCCCGTTACGCAAATTGTAACAGAGTAAATGCAGCTTTGAACACCTCAATAGAAAATTCATCAGTTTCTCACCGGATAACAGGAACGAGAAACTCGATACTTACGTCTTTCCGGTAGATTGCTCCTTGGAAATACGCCAATATCGGACGCTTCTCAAATGGGTCAGATTCACCACCAGGTACTGTCTTCATGACGTGCATATAGGGCGCAATCACGTCTTTTGCAAGATTTGCAACCGCGGATGGATATCTTCCGAAATCCGCAAGAACGAAAATTGCGGAACCAAGGGCGTTTCTTGCATAAAACAAACTGTTCGGATGATGAGCCACTATCACATGATCTTTCCCACCAAATCTCTTCCATTCATCCTGACCCGTTAGAAACTCCACCAATCTGTCCTGCAACAATCTGTCAACGCTAGTCGTCCCATTCCCACGGGGCTTAGAACGGCGATTATAACTCAAAGAGGAGAAGAACGGCACAAAAACTACATCGGCTTCACTCGAGTTCTTGACTCTAATTGAACTGCATGGTGGTCTCACTATTTCAGGTGTCTCAGAAGCTAGAATATCAAGTGTAAGCCAATACTCCACACTATGTTGTAAATTCAAACCACCGGGATACGACGAAATCATACTCAGATCCTTCACATTAGGCCAAATCTGAGCCCCTTTTTTCTTCCAACCCATCAAACCAAAGTGAAATTCAGGAGGGAAATCATACATGAACACCTTTAACATAGGCTGGTTTCGATCACATGAAACAAAATTAGAACAAGGCTTCTCACAAGAAGATTCTCCACGAGCACTAACGTGTTTGTCATCATTTAGACGAGAAGGGAACGGGTCGTTCGTGGTGTTGCTAGGAAGAATCAGCTTGAGAATTAATCCCGAAGTGAAGGGAGTATTGGTGTATTGGAGAAAGAAGAGAGAAGAGAAAATGAAGAGCACCATTGAGATGGTAATCATGAAAAGGAGGAACTTCGAGGAGAGCAAGGTCTTTTCCGACATCATCGATCCTCTAAATCAAGTGGGTTTTGTCAGATTAATCACCAGCAGGTGAAAGATTTCAACTTTGGATCATCATCGAGGGACGGACAATGGAAACAGTACCTGGGGAGCTAGGGTTTCAGAGGTTTACACCGGTGAAAGGGTAATGAACTGCCACTGTTGCCGAGAAAGGGTCGGATGCATGTGTTTGTCTGATACAATCATCTAAATGCAATGATTTAGAGGGGGAAAAAAAGCTGAAGAAACACTGAAGATTTCAACTACGTTGTGAACTCGTGATTCTGAACTGCGTTTCTTTGCAAGTGAATTGACTAAGAAACGTGTGTAAAGGGCCTTTCCTCTTTCTTTGGTACACGGTAAAAAAGTTAGTGAAATAGAGTTTTCAAATGGGGCAATTTAGAAACTGTCCTGCTAAACTAGGGTATCAATTTGGCTCCCGACCCGAATCCATAAAACAAACTGGGTTTTTGGATGGGATTCAAATCGAATTTCGAGTCGATACAAAAATGCGACAATATTTTCAAAATAATTAATAAATAAATTTATAAGGAATGAAACGGTTTGACCCGATCCGATTCGAGTCCGATATATATAAGGTCGGATTTCACATTTGGTTGGAACTGTGTTTTACAAAGTGTGCCCAAAATATTTATGTTCTTTTCAAAGTACACATTTTTTTATTTATTTTGAAAATATCCCTTAGCAATGTACCGTCATTTCAACAAAGAGTCGTCACCATTTACCTTAATATGTTCAGATAAAAATTTCAAAAACTGCTCCGTGCAAAGACTATTTTTTTGATCTTTCGGAGATCACTATTCTATTTTTGTATTCAAGAATACGAGGAGTGGTTTGTTTAAGTTATGTAGTATATGTTATTTTTTCTGTGTATAAACAATGTTATAGCTGTTTTTTGTTCAAGTATTTCGATTTCTATTTGTTCAGGGTTTGTTATCGTGGTTCATTTTGGTATTTTTGGTGCTTTTGCGATTTCTCTATTTGTGTTTGTAGTATTTTCCGCTTTAAATTTGTGGTCTCCGAAAGAAATTCGAGTAGTGGATAGAACGATAGAATTCGGACGAATCAAAAAACTCCCCTGATGGGAATATTTATTTTTAGAATCTCGGACCGAACTCCGTCCGCAGGTACACCACCTCGTCCGGGACTTAATTCTAATTGTCCAGATTTCATCATTTCGGGATGGTAAGTTTGGATACCTCTCTGATTTCTTCAGCGATTTTCTGCCCGCTCTGCCTTTATCTCCGGCTATTTTCTCCTACCTTTCTGTCCTTTGGTTTGTCGAGGTTAGCGTCGGTTTCGATTCTGTTAAGGTTAGTGTTAGGGTTTGCAAAAGAAGGATATGTGGGATTCTCGATTCCCTGTTGGTTATGCGTGATTAGGGTTTCCGGTTTCACTGTGAGGGTTAGGGTTTCTGGCCCCTCCGTGTCCGAGCCAAACCCCCTCATTTCTTCAGCGATTACCCACTGATTCTGCCTATTGTTGTTAGTTTCTTACTGTTTTTGTTTCATGCAGCAGGCTGTGGATTATTGCAAAGAAATACGTGGATTACTGTCTTCATCTTCCGAGGTTTAGACTTTCAGTTCTGCTCTTCATTTAATTTTTTTTTCTGGGGAATGAGATGGACAATTTCTCTCACAAGCAAGGAGCATCTTCCATGGTGTTCATTCTCACCGACTTTGAGGTTTTCATCCCACTCGAAATGTGCCCATTTTCAAATTCTTCGTGCTTACTGTACTAATTTTTCAAATTTAGCTTGTACTTTTGATACGTCTCTTCAATACAGAGCTTTGTTTGCTATTCTTAATCCTTTCAGGTGTGATGTATATCAGCGCTCATGTTATGTTATTCTTTCATCTTTGTTGTTGGAGCCTTGTTCTGCTGGAAAGATATTAACTCATACAGTGGCGTTTCGCAATTTGTTTTGTTCTGCGTAGGTATCAAGTTGTCAGATTTAATTTTTGTTTCAGTCCTGGTGAAGGTTGGAATGAAGTAATTCTGGTTAGGTTCCTTGCATTCCGAGGCTGAGACTCACTCGGTCTAAGAGTCCTGACCATTGAAGCTAACACTGTGTTGGACTGACCTTCTCTACATCAAGACCATCTTGAGAGCCGGATTTGCGTGCTGAGTTTGATTTTTGGTCCGAGTACGAAGGGTGAAAGGTAAACCTGATTTCTTCTTTACTCCGCCTTGAAATATATCGCCCCGCTGTTTATTTACTTCCCCTGCCTTCTTCCTCGTAACACTGCAATGGATGTTGCAGAATATGTGCTGAAAAATTTCAGTGGTACAAATAAGCTCTGGGTCCGGATGCAGCATAAGGTGAATTCTAGATCTCCATACGGTTGATCATTGTGTCTAAATTGAAACGTTTTCTAGATTTAAAATCTTAGTGCTTAGTCGACTTTCATCTTCTCTTCAAGCTCCAAGGCAGTGTAAGATATCCCAAAGAAAGCAAAATTGTTTCCTGTCTACGTCTCTTGAGAGCCATCCAGATGTCCGTTTTGAGTTTGGTTTGGGTCCGAGTACGAAGGGTGGTTGGTGAAAGTGATTTTCTTCTATTCTTCGCCTTAAAATAGACTGCCCTTTTGTAGAGATGCTAATTCTGAGATAGGATGCTGTGGAATTTGTGGTGAAAAATTTGGGTAAGGTGAATAAGCTCTGGGTTCAGATGAGGTTAGTTGAGTTTCGGGAACTACATATGATTGATGACTTGAAGAGCTCCCTCCTGATTTTCCCGATGGTGAAGTATATGACGAGCTTTTCTGCATCACATAGTTGAAGACAGATGAATCTGTGAGCTTTTAGAAATTGTTTTGCTTAACTGTTAGAACACAGATGGAACGGCGTGCTCTCTCGTCTGTGTTTGATCCTCTTCACTGCCCTTTTTGTTTTCTGTTCTAGTCTCTGAGATCGTTACAACTCCTTATGATCTCTTAGCAAAACAACAATGAGTTACTCTATTTGATGATCCAGAACGAGTTTTAGTCGGACCAAATTTTTCACATCCTTCGGTTCATACATACATGTGTAATATGTATATATGTGTAAAACCACAAGTGGTGGAAAATACAACATATCACGACTGAAAATACCCATTTTCCACAAACATCTGAAGGTAAGATACACGAAGAAAAACCGTACACGATAACACTGAGTCCATGTTCGTTGCTGCTATTACCCTTGCTGTTGACATGAAAAGTTGTATAAAAACGTCTTCAACTATGTGATGAGTGAGAAATTCAGGTCTAATCCGAATATCCCACTCATAAAAAACGATCAAACAATATAGTAATAGGATATATATATATATATATATATATACACACACGTTATACAACAATCAACTCATTCAATCATGATCCTAGTTGCAAATAATCCAAAGAATAAGTTATCAGATAACAACCATCAGTTTTCCTCTAAGCGCATCGCACGAATAGATCAATCCAAGCGAATCAGCATTATTCTTGTCTTACACACAAACATATTAGTCCAAGCAAGTTGATATGTTAGGACCATTTGTGAATCATTTATATCTACCTTATCAGTAACTGATATCACATTTCTCGAAACTAGGATCAATCCAACTCTTCTCCAAGCGTCAGTCTCTAATGCCATCGACTGTCGGATGAAGCCCCATCTCTAGAATTCCCTATCGCCGGCTATCTGTCTCAGAAGTTCTCATCAGATTCGAGCTCAAACCTTTCAGAGTAAATACATATGATCTCTTTGAGGGATACACTATAACTACGGTCCCAAATTTCGTTGCAGGGCTAATGGAAGGTGCGGATACCAAAGAACCGTACTCCTCCCTATACATCTGTACTGACTCTTTCTTCGTCCGACACAAACTATGTGGATCTTTGGGAATGCCTTAATCGTCCGAGAGAGACGTTGGCACGATGTTAATATCGCTACAATCACATCCATGTCACTGGGATGTGATATCCGTTCTAGATTAGAATGCCTTATGGCAGAGACTACAACCAATTCATTCACGAGATATTGTTGGGTTTTACCAGGATTCTTAACATGCGATCACACCGATCTAGGGTTGGTTTCTAGGTTTAAAGCAATAAAAGAAAAGATCAAAACCTATCCATGAAACTATCCATGCAAAACCCGAAATAACGTGTGTATCACATGAGTATAGAATACTTACTTCGAATCTGATGCAACTTGAAATAGAACGATCTGAGGTCTATTTTAATCACCTAGTATTGAAGATACACTCTCTTTACACGTATCCACTCTTGCGGAAAGGATTCCAAACACTTTGGAATAAATCTGATGGGATTAGTGAAGAAAAGGGGTCTCAGAGACTCGAGATTCATTCCCGAGAGATAAAAATCGAAGAGAACATCTTCTCTAGAGTTTTAAGGTGTCTCCGCCGGACTGAGACACATCACTCATGTCACTCCGAGCTAACTCAGCTCAGGTCCGCCAGAACCAGAAATCTTGGTTCGGGTCTGATCAAGTCTTGGTCAACCTGACCAAGCTCCTTCTCTCGACGGACAGATGCTCTGACATGTCTTCGCTTCACCTAACTTAGAATGTTCGGGATCGATATCTACACAAAATTGAGATGTTTCTGAATTCAATTATCTCGAATAGCTATGGATAATATGCAATAGTTCATGTATTGGAATTAAATTAATTTAATTATATTTTTATGAGTATGCATTCAATCCCATTGTTCAATGTTGATGACAAAGTCCATTAATTGTTGAAAAGATACGAGGCCCATAGAAAAACATCAGTAGATGAAGATAAAGATAAGACAAAAAACTTAGTGTTAGAGAATGACTCAAGCTTATGTAAGAGATCAGAGATTGAAGAATGGTTCTGATCGACGTGTAAGAAAGTCTGTAGAAGCAATTTTTATCTTAGCAATTAAGATCAGCTTGTATTTTGAAGTTAACGTTGTAACTTACATTTAGTAGTATGTGTTGTTTTCAGAAAAACGTATAGATGTAAAAATATTTTCAGAAAAATTTCTCTGTTTCTAACTCTTCATTCTTCACTAAAAGAAAAAATCAGATTGTGAATGAAAGTTTTTGAAAAACTAACACTCATCGTCGATGGACGAATAAACATTAGTAATTTTGGAAAACTATGAGAGCAACCGTTGATTCACATACAAAATCAAAACAAAGAAAACAAAAATATGTTAGAAACATAATAATCTTGTATTTTTTCATGATATTTGTTGTTATTTGATTTTATTTTTTGTATTTAAATGGTAAAAAATTCTTATGCATAAGAATAGGACAATTCAGTTGAAGATTATATGGTGAAGATTTGTGGGATTTTAGAAGTAGCGAAATTTTATTAGATTATTTCTTCTGTCTATAAAAACACGTTGATCACTAAAATAAAGTATCATTCTCTCCTCTCTCTCTTAATGGTCCATTTTTCCTCTCTCCTAATGATCTCTTAGTACATTTTTTTTCTTCTCTTAACTTTTTTTTCTCTCTCAATTAAAATAACGGTGCTTTGATATTTTACATCAATTTATTTTGAGATCTTTGAAATTTTTTTATCAAGTGGCATCAGAGTCTGGCCTCTGGTCGGAAGGAACTGTGTGAGTATCTATATCACTCATCATGAAAGGAGCGAGAGAGAACGATGGAGTATTGCAATGTCCTATATTGATGTCGTCCAATTATATGACATGGGCGATAAAGATGGAAGCAATTATGGATATCCAAGAGATATGGGAGGGAGTCAAACCTGTGACAGGAGTGTCGTTGACGAGAAAAAGAATAAGATAACTCGAGCATTCATCTTTCAGACGGTCCAGAAAGATGTTCTTATGTAGACAACGAAGAAGAAATTGGCTAAGAGATTTGGAAATCTTTGAAGTCCCGATATATTGGACTTAATCGTGTGCGGAAAGTACGGTTGCAGACTTTGAAAAGTGAATTCGAAGCTCTGCGTATGAAAGAAGGTGAGACAATTGATGAATTCGTCACGAAATTGAACAGTATGACAATCAAGTACAATAATCTTGGTGTCACCCTTGAGAATGTCGCGCTTGTTAGAAAACTATTCAACTCTGTTCTAGATAAGTTTTTTCAATTGGTTGCATCCATAAAACAGTATTCAGATATTGACAAAATATCGTTCGAGGAAGTGATCAGGAAAATAAAAGCATATGAGGAGCGAATTCGATTACACGATATCGACGACAATTCCGATAGACAATGCTTGCTTATTTATACAGAGTGAAAAACTCGACAAAAACTAGGAGAAAATAATCTTGGTCGTAGATACGGGAGAGGTGAACGAGATATTAACGATGGTACCAAAATTTGTAGGGAAAAAAGTCATATACAATGTTTTAATCGTCAAATATTTGGACATTATGCCTCTGAATGCCCTAGATCCAAGTATGAAAAAAATGATAAACAAGCTCACCTCGTGAAAAAAGATAAGAACCGATATTATTGTGATGGAGATTTATGGTTGGCATGAAATAAAGAGATAATACAAGATTAGGAGGGAAAATGTTATAAAAATAATAATCTTGTATTTTTTTTTTCATGATGTTTGCTTTTATTTGATTTTAATTTTTGTATTTAAGTGGTAAAAAATTGTATCAATTGAGTTGAGAATTATGTAGTGAAAACTAGTCGGATTTTAGGACCATTTAAAAAAATCCCCAAAAAAAACTTTTGCGAAAGATACATTTAAAATATCAATTATCTATAAATGGTCTAAGAACCATTTTAAAAACAAAATCATTGTTAAAGATTGAAAATCCCCAAAAAAACCTTTTGAAAAAGATACAACTAAAATATCAATTATCTATAAATTTAAAATAAACTTCAAATCTTTGAGAAAACATCCAAAATAATATAATTAACTGTTAAAAACATCTATTTAAAACTCCAATAATACATATATTTTAAACAAAAATAAAAATTTGTATAAATGAAAAACTATATTTTAAGTTTAAACTTAAAGAAATATATTTATATTAATAATTTAATATTGTAAATATACATTTTAAAAATAGAGTGAAATAATAAACATTATAGCTTTATAATATTTTTATAAATATTGAGATTTATTTGGATTTGAACGAATTGGATTTTTATTAATAAGACATATTAAATCTCAACTCTAAATTTTTAAATTTATTGTTTAAAATCTCGACTATATATATATAGATAATCATATATCATTTTATAATATTATTATTGTATTATAATATCATATTTTAATTAAAAAAAGTTATAGTTGTAGATATTTTTAATAAAATTGTATTTGTTGATAATTGGATGTCTTATAAAAGTCAAAAGAGTTTTTTTTTTTAATATTTTGTTATAAATGAATATTTATTTGGATTAATGGATTGAGGTTTTAAACTACTTTTAAAAATTTCAAAGTTTTCTGGGTTTTGTTTATGATAAAATATAATGAATATCTTCTTCAAATTGGCATACTAAATGAAGATACTCATAAAACTAAAACGCAACCCTTAATTTATTTAATTAAAATTCTCCACGAGACTCATAAGCAGATGACTCTTACAGTTTTGCTTCACTCAACTTTGTTACCTTTAATTCTCTTAGTAAATCCAACTAAAGCATGAGAGTAAATATATAAGCTAAGGCAGGAAGAATATTGATTTCTTTCTTAGAACAACTCTTGATTATGATCTAAAGGCATGCTAATGAGATCATCCAACAACCATTTCTCGATCAACGACAATGAACCTTGAGTCTCGGTCTCATTGCTTTCCTCTCGGAAAGCGCTTCTTTCAGGCGTTAAATGGGCTTTGCCATCCACTGACCCTGATTCTGAATTGGCGGAGTTTAACGTGAACAGTGACTGATCAAGAGCTCCTCCTTCGACCGAGCTTGACAAGGCATTCTGGTTATTTGACGACGAGTTTGCTTGAAGATGAAGGCCGGATGATTTTCTCGTCCAGCCTTGGAGCAATCGGGAGATATTCTCCTCGCTCGACGCATAAGTAGTCGGAGTGGAAGAGGAAGGCTGATGTGTAGAAGTTTGTTTGTTGTCAAGTGACAAAGCCTCACGTAGGGCTTTTTTCGCCATGTTAATATCTGTCTGAAGCTTCCTTTCCCATTGGCCTTTGTCGGGAAACCGTCTTTTCGGTCTGTTACAAGGCTCTTCCGTGTCCGACTGAAGCTTCTGAAGCTTCTTTTTCAGGTGAGTGTTCCAGAAGTTCTTTACATCGTTGTCGGTCCTCTGAGGAAGGTAAGACGCTATCGCAGCCCATCTTCACATTCCAATCACAAAAGAACAAAACATCAATTAACTAATCCTTTGATTAGGAGCTTGAAGAATAATATAATGAAATATATGATATTGCATAGTCTAAAATATGTGATGACTTTATCATTTCCGCTTCTAGTCGGTGAACCACAAATGAAGAAACCAGATGTTTTGTATTCACCTATTTCCCAGAAGGGCTTGGAGGTGGATGATGATCTTTTCTTCATTTTCGGTGAAATTCCCTCGTTTAATTCCCGGTCTCAGATAATTAGTCCATCGAAGTCTGCAACTCTTGCTGCATCTTAGCAATCCTGAAGATTAAAAAAGAACAATACGTTAAGGAAAAAAAAAAGATAAAAGAAAAAGAAAAAGAAATACAAGAGCTGGACAAATTCAGTCATAAATGTGTTCAAACTCAGACACAAAACAGAAACCATGCTTTAGGACAATTGGAGATTTTGTAACATCAGCCGCTTATCAACCAACGCTTCTTTAATACTTGCAACAACCAAAGAATTAACACATAAAGAGAGCTAGAAGAAGAAGATGATGGTGATGAAGAGCAAGAGCAAGATCAAGACCTGTATTTTCAGGAACCATTCTCCAGTTACCGGGACCGTGTTCTTGAACGTAAGAGACCAATATTATGTCTTCCTCTGGCGTCCATGGCCCTTTCTTGACGTCGGTATTTTCGCTACAAGGCGGTCTCCCCATATCCACGCGCGCCTTGTCTATCTCTTATCGTGTTTTTTTTACTCAACGCATATATACAGACACAGGATTGTCGTAGACCTATATATCTATTGATGTATGAACACTAGATTGGATTTTTCCAACAAGGGTCTTCTCACGATCTCTCATTTTTGGACTTCGAAGACCATTTCTTTATCCCCATTAGCTGTTTTCTTCTTCTTCCCTGGCTTTTTCTGCTTATACAAAGAGGTGCAGGAGTAGTTGGATGTCGATGAGGAAGGCAAGCGTCACGGGTTGTCTTGTCTATATGTATATAAAGAACCGCATACACAGTGTATGCGCGTGTGTATGTATAGGCGTATGTGTCGAATTCTACGGAGTAGCGGGTTTGTTTTCATGTAAAAGACCAAAAGAGAGGTTTTACAATGTATTTTGTACGCTGACCAAAACAAGCTTTCTTTCAAAACAAGAGTCAATACGGACAGCGAAGAGCATTTACTCATTTGCTTCTGCCAAAAAGTCAGCCTCTCTCTATCTTTCTGGTATTCACAGTAAGTTGCACCGAAACACGGCTAATTGTCTTTTTTTTTAAAAAAAAATTTTAAAAGGGTACGTGGAAATCTTTATGTTATTTACGCAAACGAGACCTTAAAAAATGAGTTTATTTTTAGATAAATTAAAAAAAAAAAGCATAATGCTAAAGTTTTTTTTTTTGTTGTAATAAGACATGTGTGTTGGAAGAACTAGTTTACCATTAGATAAAACATTAGAACCAACGCCCATATCATATAACCAATATATCTACAACTCTTGTTCCAATATTAAATTATATACAATCAATATATTTGTTTTAAATGCGTAGGAAAATAGCACTTATGATTTCAAAAGTTACTTTTAAGTGAATTTTAATGTTTGATTTAATTTCCAAAAGTACACTTTTGTTTTAACAAATCATAATTTGATCCGAAAGTGTAGTTTCCACTATATTGTACAAAAACAAACCCTAGGGAGAGAGGAGATTTTTGGTCCAAAGCCAAATCGAAATCTATTAATATAGAAAATTTCTAACTATCACTGAAATTGAATCAGTGTCCAACGTTTGAACTATATATCATCAAGATTTGCAATATACAGTATATATCTAGTGACCGGATTCATTAATTGTTACACATTATGATTTGATACGGAGTCGCAATATGGTCATGGATACGTGTGAGTTGTCTGGGCTCGGCAACAGATCTGTGATAGAGAAAACTCGCAGCACTTCTCCGGGAGCAGAGGAGAGGCCGAGAGCTCACGAGGGCTGGCTCGTCGGCACGGGGAAGCAGATCTCGAAAGGCTCGGGAGCAACGGCTGGAAAATGCTGCGGCCGCTAGGGTTTCGCACGAACCCTAGATCATGCAATAGAGAGGCTGTTCGGTTTCAGAAAAAGAAAAAGAAAACAGTTTCTGACATCATTTTACGTTTTGTTGTTTAGTACTGTGCGGTTTTAGGTAGATTTTGTGTCTTACATTATTAACACGTCTTAAACTAATAGACGATATTTAGAGGAATATATTAATGTATGCGAAATATGAAAAGCTGAATTCAACACAAAATCTAAATCCACGTGGAAATTTAACTGAGGAAATAATACCAAAGGGAATTAGAGATGTATCTTATAGCTTAGATTCTTATCCATTTCCCGAAGGCTGGGATTCAAGCCATGTATATGAATGTGTGAGTTCATACGTAATATAAGAACAGTGAAATTACAGTGGTCAACTTTGCAATAAAAAACGTACAAGTTGAATATCGGTGTTATATACAAAATTTGTATATACATACACCGATATATAAGTGTCTCACTAGTGTTTTGTGAATGATGTTCGTAAGGAGTACAAATGTAATTTCCTGGGGTTTTAATATTATTTAGATGAAAAAGTATGGAGCTATAGTCTAAGCGAATGGGTTATTGGATGCACTAATTAATAATAAGATGAGGAGTATTAATTTAGTTTTATTGGGTTACACGTTACTAATTTTATATAAATTAATTTAAATAATTAAAAAATAATCTTAGCGGTATCAAGGATTCTTAATCCAAATGCCACTAATATAAGGTTATCTTTTGGATGGATTGGACATCTCTCTCTCTCTCTCTCTCTCTATATATATATATATAATTGAAGAGTCAAATATAAGCTTCTTTTTTTCCTATAACGGTTGCTATATATTGTATTTGTATTTTTTTTTTCAAAATAAATAGGAAAGATGCAGCTCCAAAAAAGGATGCACTATCGTTACTAAAACTCCATGTACAGTTATTAATATTTAATACCCATTAGTAACTTAAAAAAATAACGTTAGCGTTAGAATAGGGCCAATAGGCAATCTTAACATAGCACTGATTAGGGTTACAGATCTTATCGCTAAAAGCAAACGAGGGATAAAGTTTAATATTTTATTGCTAAAAGAATATGATTTTAAAGTTTCATGTAATTTTTCAAATAAATTTCCAAATTTGTTTGTAATAAAGAAAAAATATCGAGTTAAGTTAAAAAGAAACAGTATTAGTAATTATATTCTTTTCATGCTGTTTTTTTTTTAAATATATGTAAACTTCTAAATTAAATTAATTAATTTTGATTTGAGCTTTAACTAATCTAAATGCTCGAGCATAACAAGAGAAGAGAGTAAGTGTTTCATCAATATATTTATTTGCTATAGAGGTCGTTGGGAATTCTATTAGCAGTTGTTTTCCATTGTAGACGATTTTATTGTTATTTTTTTAGCGTTTAAATTAGTTCTGAGTTAAATCAATTTAATATATATATATTAATAAAATGATTTATTAGATCTAAAATCTACGAACGTCCCGTCCAAGCGTACCCATCGTAAAAAAAAACTTGCATATATGGCAATATGACACAGCATGGCTGGGTCCGTTCCATTATAAGCTAGGCAAATTGCCAATTTGATCCCACGGCTTAACAGTTTTGAATCTTATTTAATTTTAAATCTAACTTATTCAATTTGTGTCAGTCCATTTATTAAAATTGAAAGAGGTCTCCCTCAAGTCTACTTTAATTTCAACTTACATTACCAGTACCTCACTCCATACATGCATACATACATGCATGCATGCATACATACATACATACATACATACATACATACATACATACGTACATACGTACATACGTACGTACATTTCTTTATTTTATACGTATTGCATTTCTTTATTGGCATCAAGAAACATACGTAGTGTATTTGCTTATCTATTTGATTTTGTATTCGTATTTGATTTTTGTGCTTGAAATATGCCTATTAATATAGCATAGCTCTTTTTAGGCGTCCATTAAACATTGGTAGGTCTATAAGGATTTCAAATTTCCGATATGTATCATTTGGTACGCATTTTAGTAATTATTTAAGATATTTTAAAATAATTAAAACTTTAATTACATAGTACGGAAATTATCAATTGGGCAACCACCGATTCTCATGCGTGTATATACCATTAATAAACAATTAAATATAATATATTCCATTTCTTTTTCATCTTATATCACCTTATCTAAACCCATGGTAACCGAGCAATCACTTGAATTCTTCAAATACGACATTTCGTACATTTTTTTTTGTAGATTCTTTTATTTTATAATAATGTTGATTAAAATAAAGTTCACATGTTTTATATAGGTCACGATGGGGTGATTACATAATATATTATTATATATGTAGCTAGAAAACTTAAAAATACTATGATTTTTAAAATGTTAAAAAAAGAAGCAATTCGAAAGAACGTCGACGGGACCAAGTAAATGACGGACAAAGTCAGTGAACAGTTGAACTTTGGATCCTCATAAATGATTAGTAATTATTATTTTTTAAATCTGTAGCAAATATATATATAATGTAATTTGAGTAAAGATCATGAAATTATTGAAAGGACACGTGGACGGTGGTGATTTAAGGATGGTGTTTATCGAATATTTAAACTTAAAGAATGGAAAATGAGGGTTTATGTGACTTTGTGAACAATTAGAGCCTCTCTAAAGTATAAATTATAATGGAGCCTACATTATTTCACTACCAAATCCAGTTACAACATACATATGTTTACACGAAGAATGAAGGGTTTAAAAGTATTCTTTTCAAAGAACAAAACCTATATATTCAAAGTAAAATACATTAAAAAAATTGTACATATTCACTAAATGGTTGAACAAAGTTTAAAATATATATAATATTGTAAATTGAATAAAAAAAGTTTGTTGTACACAACTTTTTTTAATGGAAAAAATAATATGTACAAATATATTTTATATAAATATTTTCAATATAACTAATAATATCATTCTATTTAAAATATAATTTTTTTTCGTTTTTTTATAAAAAAAAAATCATGATAAAGGCTAAATTTTCTCCATACAATACGTATGTATTCGAGTAGAGGTATCAATTTTGACCTGAGACTTGAGGTCCTAAGTCCGACTCTGTGTTATCTCGAGGTATGATGAGTGTTGAGGATGTTCAGCGATGTAGATGACACGGACAATGATCGATTTCCCAAGAACCATTAAGACCAAAGGGATACAGGAATGAATCGAACGCATCAGAATTAGATAGATCCTAGGGCTATATAGGTATGAGACTATATAGCCTGAGATAACTTAAAAACATTAGTTGACCTACTCATAGCAATAAGGTGCATCTACATTTTCGGTTGATTATCCCGAGAGAACTGCAAAGTTAAGTGTGTTAATTCTGAAGCAATATAAGGATGGATAACCTATTAGAAAATGTCTCAATATGCATGCGATATTGGTTGTGATGCTCTAGAGTGATCTGTGATATGACATTTGATCCTTTTGTATTGATTCATTGATTTATGAATGTATTACTTTTCTCTTATATGATTTATATATCAATATCATTCGGTCATTGCAGGATGTTTCTAAACACTCTGGTTAGTCATCAATGTGGGAGAGATGATGAATTAAAACCACCATGAGATGTGATTAATGATCATAGAGATGATCATGCGCATTGGATGCAAATCACAATCATGGGTACTCATTGGGAATGAGTGATTGGATGATCCGCATGAGATTGTCACATAAACACGAGTTATGACTTGAATCTTATATAGCGGTTCATTCTTAAATCCTTAGACCTGAGATATCTAGAGTATCTGACATGAAGATTAGTGTGTTTTGATTACGTCAAACGTCATCTTTAACCGAATGATCATAACAACGTTGATCAGATACGTTTACAAGTCATGTGAAG